ATTTAATGCGAGAAATACAATATCTAAAAAAATTGCTTAGTTATTGCGCTTGTAATAAATTCCTTTCTCACGGCCATAGTTACTCAGACCCAGAGGAAGGAAATACAAAGAATATTCTTACTCGAACACAAGTCCCAAAACTGTTTACATTATATTTACTTTCCGTTTATTAGAAAACGTAGACGCAATTTTGACTATTCGATTAGAAACAGAAAGGCTACAAGCTTCTGATCTAAGGAAGTAAATAACATTCTACCCAATGACAATGTTCATCTCGAAATATATATAAGTAGTAAATAAATTTCCTGTATTGATCTGCGAAAAGCCTTTGATTCGGACGCTCATTAACGACCTCAAATTCCTAAGCTATACAAAATAAATCGAAATAGTGTGAAATAAGTATGTGGTAAAATAAACATGAGCTTTAATAACGATCAAAGAACATTTTCTGAATACTAAGCTGTAGAGAATTGCCATAAAAATTATAAATTAGACAAAAAATTAAATTCTAGGTTTTTCAAAAGTTCTTGAATATTCAAATATATCTCAAAATGACCGTGTAAATATAATGTTATTAGATATGACATTTTTTGAAAAAATAAATCTTAGAATAGCTATTATCATAGAATTAAAGCTATTTTCCTTCCTTGGTTGTAGGGTGAGAAGAGAATTTCCTTTAGAAAATCGAATGCAAAAGCCATGTTTTATTGCAGATTCGAATTCAACAAGAAATCATTTTTTGTTTGAAAACTTATTTTTGATGCTGCTGATGAAACTGATATTGATTGGTCGATATGCAATAGACATTATCACTATTAACCTGGATCTTGCTAGTTTTGTTGATGAAAATTACTTATCTTGCTGCTCGATTTCCGCTGTACAAAAATTGTACAAAAATTACAAAGATTGTACCAAAATTACTCTTTACTACGTATGTACACGTGAAAAGGCGATTAAATAAAAAAACTGACGTACTTAAGTCTTTCGATTTACTTGTGGATGATAAATATAACTTTTCATTTTCCTTATCCTATTGGAACGTCAATTTTTCTTTAAAATAAAAGTTTGGGAATTAGTAAATTAGTCATCTATTCATTATATGAATATGAGATGAAAATAAACCCCTCAGATCTAGACCACTGCACATTTAATGGTAATTGACTGTAAAGCAAGCGATAAGAGTTTCTCAATAAATTGTGAAACATCATTTAAAGAACTCAACAGTAAACTCCACATCATTGTATACGAGTATGCTAAGGGTTCATGATTTATAATTTCTTGTGGATTAGAAAAAAAGAGTATGTCAGTACAATACATTAGATAATTTATTTTGAATATACTGGGATATATTTACTTAAAATCTTTAAGATTCGATTAACACTTTAGTCTTATTAATTGAATTGCCAAGTTTAACTACGAAACAAAAAATTAACAAGCCCGATAAAACGAAAGGAAAAAAATAGAAACCTTAAGTCAAATATACAACGTTCTAAAAGGAAGAAGGCATTGAATTAGTAAATTTTTAATGTTTGACGCCAAGTAAAATTACACTTTCTTGACAAATTAGGAATATGTAGTAAGCAAGCTATGAATTTATTTTCTCAAATTTTGACCACATGGTTGTACTCTTTTACGCGTATTATATTTCGTTCTTTAGCATTGTTTTTTAAGCACAGTTTTAAACTGAATCAGTTCGCATGAAAACATTCACCGTAATAGTGAAATATTTTATATTACTTAACTAGCTCTAATTCCGAATTAATTTGGTTTAGAATTTATCCTTGATATACTGTCACGAAAAGAGAGAGAAACAGAATGTTACTTCATTTGTTTCTCTAGGGTTTTGTTATTTAATATTACAAATATTGCCTAATAATGCCTGCCTTGTTTTTTTTTAAAAAAAAGCGAATGTGAGAGGTTACTTAACAACATAATTGAAGTTTTCCACTTCAGTGACGGTCTGGGTCTCGTCCTGAACGGACGTATTTTGGTGCCGGGCGGTTACATCTTAAAAGTATTCGTTCGTTATGTGCTAAGGTCAGTGTATAATATTACAACTTAATGTATGCTTTTTGCAGTATACATACAATTTAGATACTTAGTCTGACTGAGCTAGTATTCCTTTTTATGGTTTTGCTTATGCTATTTAATGTATTGCAATATCTGCTTTTAACTTTAGTTTAAATATAATTTTCTTAATTTGAGTTCCCTGTTCAAGGTTTTTTATGATCGTTCTTGAGTATAGAAATAATGTAATGGTATAAAAAAGTTTAACTTGTATTTAAGTTAAATGAAAGTTTAAATTTGAATTTTTATAATGTATAATATGGTTATAATGTAATTTAAATTTTTAGCATTATAAAAGTTAGATTTTTCTGGACAAGCAAATGTGTAAATTTTAATGACATAGATGGATTTAAAATGCTTTGGCTTATAATTTGATCAGTTAGTAAATTTTCCCTCAATATAGCTTTTCAGTGACGAAACATTACATTATGGTACATAAATTTTTCCTGAGAAAATATTTTCTCACCATTTCTTTTCTAAATTTTTAGATTTCCATTGGTTCTGAAAACTAAAAATATAGAAAATTACTATTTTCTTTGCAGTAATAGTATTTAAGCTTATTTTTATTATATATAAAGTTTCAGGGTATTGGACAGTTTTCATTTAGTTACTGTTGAACCTAGTTGTCATTGGTTACTAAACTATATGGTGTAAGACCTAGCAACCAATTAACATTGTGATCAGTGAGGTTCTGTCTCTCGTCCTGAATGGACTTAATTCTGTGCCGGGCGGTCAGAAATTACTGAATTTGTAAGTGTTGAAGGAAAGTACAAAATATTGTATTCAACTCTTAAAAAATACTTTGTGTGAAGCATTGAGAATTCCTTTGTTTAAACTAGAAAAGTTAAGATTTCGTTTAAATAGTGTAATTATCTGAATTAAAATTTACTTTACATATTTTATTACAAACTATTTTTAACTTTGAAATACAGAATTGAGCAATTTTCAGAAACTTAATTTCATTAAAAAAAAATTTCATGCATATAATTGCTTATATAGGTTTAAATTTTACTGACGCGATCTTTTCATTCTAAAATTGAGACTTCACAAAAAAACTAGATTTCGTGTAGAATGCAATATTCTTATGATTATGTATTTAAATTTCGCTTCTGCTTTCTGAATGTTCATATATAAAAAACTGAAATTATTTTATAACTGTTTTCGAACATCTATATTTTGACGAAATCAGATACGGAGATGTAATGAATTTCGGCCATTGGAGACAATTTTTTAGAAAGTAATTGTACCAATATAATATTTAAAATCTAAAATTGCGACTGTTCGAAACTTTACTTGCTAATATGATTGTAGTAAAATGAAATACTTGTATTGTCAATATTACATGGTTCATTCATGGAATGTTCTTAATATGAAAATTGTATAACTGACTTGAAAATTAAATTTTAAGTTTTAAACCAGAAAAGCTCGGAAGTTAAACTTTGGTTTGGGATTTTCCCCTGCAATTAGAGCTTACATTCGAAAAAGGTTAATTACCATACAAACTAAAATAATATATTATGTAGAATATTGACATCACTTAATTGCGAGAGTACCAAAAACATTCAAGTAAATTAATTTTAGTTATTAAAGGAAACATTAAAATTGCGACTACAAGAATATACGTCCTGAGACACGTGTTAAAATGCTTTTAAATTTCCTAATTTTCATGTTTCTTTATACATTAGCAATAAGTATCTCGTTTGACTGTTCGAACTCTTCCAAATTCACTGCGATCATTAGCACTCTACAATCAAAATATGGAGGATTGCAAACATATTTTATGGAAACATTTTGACATATGATGTAATTTATTACTCTTTGCGTTGATACCTTTTTAAATGTAAAAACATGATATAAAGTGATTTATATTTTTAACGATAAAATACATAATAAATTAGTAATTGTATTAAGATGAAATTGAAAAATTATGAACTTATTAATGTGAAATACATGAATATTGATTTACTTCGCCGATAAATTTTTATTCATTATTTTTTGATTTTTATATTCAAAATTGTTACCATTCAGTACCATAAACTAGTATGTTAAAATATTTGTAGAATTGAGATCATTTTATTTATTTGTCTAACATAGCTTGTAAATATTTTCTGAAAGTTAACTATAAATTTAGAGGCTTGCCGAAAAAAACTAAAACAAATTCTGAAACTAAATATACATAAAACTAGTGTGAACTAGATCATAGTAACAAACATAAACTGAAACGTTATAAAAAAACTGCGCTTCGTCAGAACTAGACATTTTTCGACAGAACTAAACATATATTTTTCGGGGTGCGTGATTAATATTTTCGTCCCAATTGTTTTAAATTTTCTATATTTAAGTTTGAAATTGTTACTTTTCAATGAGAATTCACAATCTTTAACAATATAAAATGTCTTTATTCGTTTAAGTGACATTCTACGTATTCTGTAGGAATTCAAAATTCAACCCTCAAATAATTTTCTTGTAAAAACAGCTTTAAGACTGAAATAAAAAAATATACAATATATTAACGGTGAAAATATATGAAAATAATACAGGAAGTGACTGTAAATTATCCTTTCGAATTTGATATTCAAATGAATTTAATTGGTAACTTTGAATATGACAAATATCACGCGAATAGTGAGATAAAATTAGACAAAATAAGCCTTTCCTACATGCATACAATTCCAATTTAGATATGTAAACTCTAAATGATTAATATATCAAGGAAAATTCAAGTTTTTGAAAATGTGTGTACATAGTTGTATTTGCTTTGTCCATAAAGTTGTCAAAAAGCAATTCAATTTTTCACTATTTGGACAAAAATGACTTTTGAAAATAAAAGCTCATGTGGGCAACAGTAGTTTGAATGAAAGTATGTAAGTTCGTACGTATACAAAAAATTTCAGTGGACGAAGCACTAAAATGCAAAATTGACTGAATCTCACCCTTGTATTTAAAAGCATTTTGTTTTCTGCAGCCTACATCGAACTTCGTGGCGGCTGTTATACATAGCTGCTAATCAAGAATGTGCTGCGGGTGAGAACAATTTGAGTGCGCGTAATTTAAGGCTTATAAAATCGTTTAGAATATAATTCGGGATCATTTAGGTAAAATAAATCCGCCTCTCGGATTTCCGTTAAAAATGTGTAAAAATCTTTTTTTAAATGCTAAATGTAACATGACCCGTATGGAGTTTCATTTCATATAAAAGGAAACTTGTTCTGTTTACTTCGTATCTTCGTAGGCTTTCACAGCCGGAGTCAATAGAAGATAAAAATTTTCCGGGCAGGTAGTCCGTGGTCTAGTTGGTGTTGAAGGGCCACAGACCTCGGCTCTTCAATGTCAACTGGAGCACGGCCTACCAGCGCGGAAAATTTATCTTCTATGTTCTGTTCTGTCCAGCGGTTGCTGTGGCCGCTGTAGTCCGTGCTGTTGCGGCCCTGTCTGTGCCGCCTGCTGTAGTCCTTGCTGCTATTTTTATTGCTGCTAAGCAAGGTATTGCTAAGCGGTTCCGGTGAATTTGGAGTAGTTGCAAAATATTTTGTATGCTGACGTGGCTTTCTGTGGGCAAACTGTAAAGGAAGTGACATAAGTTATTGAATAACTGCCTAAGAAAGGCCAACGACCAACTTGAAGTTTTAATTACCTATAAATATTTTAAAAATCACATGTCTCATGGCGTATGTTTCTTCGCAAAGTTTTCAGGTTCCTTTAAATCTGAAAGTTTTGTTTTCAATGATGAGTGTACAAATGTTTCACAATTTGAACGGGATTTTATCCATTGTGAAAATTATTTGAATTTCTTCCATAAATGACTTTAAGATGAATTAAGGTAGCTCACAAGACCTCAATAACTACTAAACATTGTTCAGTATTGTTTTAGGCTTGATTATATAATTTAACATGTTGCAGCTCTTCTAGCGTGAATTATATTGATCTACGTGGTGCTATATTGACCGAAATTTGTTGCAGAAACATTCCTTTTTAAAACTGAGAACTTGATTTTACCATGTGCTGCGGGTAAATATATTAATATTATTCTTGAAACTTTTAAGACATTGTTTAGAAAGTAGTTTGATCGCTCTATCAAATTCAGTGGTTGCTGCGGCGGGTGCTGCGGTGGTTGCTGTGGTGGCTGTGGTTGCGGCTGTGGTTGCGGCTGTGGCTGTGGTTGTGGTTGTGGCTGCGGTTGCGGCTGTGGTTGTGGCGGTTGCGGCTGCTGCAGAGGTTGCTGCTAAGCAGATATATCTCGTTTCACCAACAGTGTAAAAATTCTCTAACAAGATGTGCTGCGGGTAATGTACAATGAAAGAAAAAAATGAATTAATAGTGAAGTACAGTTTCAACAAGCTATTTCCACCATTCTAGTGGGTGTTGCGGTTGCTGCTACAGCTGCTGTGGCTGCTGTGGTTGCGGCTGTGGATGCTGTGGCTGTGGATGCTGCTAAATAAAAACCCGTTTTCGTGTAATGGGCCGGTAAATACTAAATTGCATTGAAAGTAATATAGTAACAATCAACAATTATTTTTGCGTTTCAGAATTTACAGATTTCCTAATTTATAGTAAATATTAATGAAATTCACTTCTAATAGAAATCTTTGTTGCAGTGCATGAATTCCAAGTCAATATCTCCAGTCTTCTAATTAGTTTCCAAATACAATAACAATGTGTTGCGGGTAAAGTATATTTTCTAATAATGAAATTGTATTTAATCGTAGAAATTGTGCTACATGTGTGAAATTGTTTCATTACAGAGGGTGCTGTGGTTGTTGCTACAGTTGTTGTGGTTGCTGTGGTTGTGGCTGTTGTGGTTGTGGGTGCGGTTGCTGCTGAGTAAAATCTTAGTTGAGTTTCCCACAATATGGGACATCGGTAAATATTTGAACATGGTTTAAGAATTTGTGAATAATTATATTTAAAAACAAATTTAATCCTTTTTTATATTTCAGGAAGTGCTCTTGCACTCAGAATGTCAATGCTAACAGCAATCCTTGCTGCAGCACCTGCATTTTAAAAACTGGTGTAAATAACGAAGATTCTGTTTGAATTCTTCAATATACACTTCCAAGATGTGTTGCGGGTAAAGTGGATTTTCAATATTGATTCTATTGTAAGTCTTTAGTTGAACACTAAAAAATAAAACCATTTTGTTAGTGGGTGCTGCGGTAGCTGCTGCGGCTGCTGTTGCTACAGCTGTGGCTGTGGTTGCTGTGGTTGTGGCTGTTGCTAAGTACGAAAAACTTAATTACTCCACTAGAAAGATCATTCAACATGGGCCGAAGGTAAGGAAAATTGTTTCCAAATGGTTAGTATAATAATTAGAGAAAATAATTAACGTTTGCTTGAACCCTGATGCAGGAAGTGCTGCTGTTCTCAACGGGTCAACACCAATAGCATACCTTGCTGCAGTACATGCATATTTAAAGACGGAAATAAACAGCCTTCCAGTTAATTTGCTTAATAATTAACTAGCAAGATGTGTGGCGGGTAATAAACATACCTCGTATTAATTATAAATACACGATATGAAATAAGTTTATATTGATGTGAACAACTTATTTTTCAGTGGTTGTGGTGGCTGCTGCGGCGGCTGTTGTACCTGTTGCTGCTGCGTTCCATGTATTTGTTGCTGCAATTGCTGCTGCTGTTAACACCTGAAGCAGTATAGCGAGACGGTAAGAAAAAAAATTAATGTACATTGTATGAAGCCGCCTTCTGATAACTAATGACTTTTTTACAGAAAGTTTCTACTCAGAAATCTTCCAGTATTCCATGCTTTAGCACGTGTCTTTTGCAATCACAGTAACAAATAATCGCCAAAATGTGTTGTGGGTAAGTCAATTACATACAGAAAAAATTTGTGTATATGCATTAATTATTAATAATTTCGTTAGAGATTGCTCTTGTGAATTAATTCCAGTGGTTGTGGTTGCTCTTGCGGCTGTTGCTGCTGTTGTGTCCCATGTTGCTGCTGCAGTTGCTGCTGCTGCTGAATAATCTTCACACACACACACACACCTGTAGGTCAACACTTAACATTTCGGGAAACTGTGGTATACGTTGAAATAATGACTAAAAATTCTTTTTCTTGCCTTCACAGAACGTTTTGCTGATAGACTCGTTTCCCTCTGTGTGAACACAAACCAGCAAAATGTGTGGCGGGTAAGTTCGTTAAAAAATACAAAAATATACTTATTTAAGAATTAACAATTAACAAAAATAAAATTTCAGTGGTTGTGGAGGCTGCTGCGGCGGCTGTTGCGGCTGTTGTTGCTGCGTCCCATGTTGTTGTTGCTGCAAATGCTGCTGCTGTTAATTGCACTTAAGAATATCATCATGGCTTGGCAAGTACTTAATATTAAGGCTGGTTAAATGCTAGGGGATGCACTGCAAATTCGAATAATTGTCATTAATATTTTCAGCAAGTGTTGCTGTACGTTAAGCACAAATCCTTTCAGAATACCTTGCTGCAGCTCTTGCATTTTTGCATGAAAAGAAACATCTTTATTTTCAACGTGTCTAACAGCAAACAGTAAAAATGTGTGGAGGGTAAGAATTTTTTCCTAACTTATTTTATTATATTTAATAATTGTTTTATTAAGTTATAAAAAGATACGTACTGAAATTAGCAATAATTCTGTAGTGATGAAATATTCTGAAAATATATTTCACTGCGATAGCCAACTAAATACTTAAACATTTTCAGTGGTTGTGGTGGTTGCTGCGGTGGCTGTTGTGGCTGCTGCTGCTGTTGTTGTTGCGTTCCTTGCTGCTGCTGCTCCGGCTGCTGCTGCTAAGCCTATCCCTAGGTCAACGCCAGCCAACATCGAAGGTCTGTATGATCATTTCATTATTGAAATGTTATAAAGAATTACTTTAACAATATTTAATGACTTTACAATACTGATATTTGCAGCTCACACGTTGCTCTAAGCAAGTAAACGAAGTCTTCCCTAAGTACGTGTATTTCATCATTTAAAATATGTGTGGGTAAGTATTTTTTTTAATATAGCGCCTTTTTTCAAATTCTGGTATGTTAATTTGTTAAAAACATTATATAATATAGTAAAGTAATTCTGTTAAATAAATGTAATGACTTTCATAGAAATTAGAATCTAAATTTCATAATTTCTTATTACAGCGGCGGAGGCTGTGGAGGCTGTGGAGGCTGTGGTGGCTGTGGTGGCTGTGGCTGTGATTGTTGCAGCTGCTGTTGCGTACCTTGCTGTATTTGTTGTTGCTGCCCATGCTGTTGCGGTTGTTGCAGTTAAATATCTTGCATCTAATATATCCGTCAAAATGGGCCGCCGGTAAGATCTATGATTTTTTATTTTTATTATATATTATAGATTTATTTATTATATATATTAACTAAACAATTAATTGCAGAAAATGCTGCTGTACGCAACGCGTAAACCCCTCCAGCATTCCTTGCTGCAGTACTTGCATCTTTAGAAACAACGAAAATAAACAGATTTCTGTTTAATATCGTAAAACAATAACCAGCAAAATGTGTTGCGAGTGAGTAAACTATATGTACTTCCTATAAATTTTTATGCATCATCAAATACATGTTGTATAATAAAAAATATATCACGCAGTTGTGACTGCGACTGCTGCTGCATATGCTGTTACCAGCCGTGTTGCTGCTGCTATTGCCCTTGCTGTTGCTGCTGTTAGACACCAATTAAACATCAACATGGGGCGGTGAGTACTATTTTCAACAAAATATAAAATAAATCAATGTAGTTAAAATACAAGTAAATAATAAATATAATAAATATAATTATAATAAATATTAATTTTAATTTTTATAGCAAGTGCTGCTGTTCGCGTAACATCAAGACATCCAGCATTCCCTGTTGCAGCACGTGCATTTTCAAAAACGATGGGAACGAGCATCAACCAGCTCTGAAAATGCACTAACATAATGCAACGGCACGGGTAAGGCATATTACATTAATATGGAATAAGCAAATTCCAAATTAAGTTATTCACAAAAATACAATTTAACCTCTTCAGTCCGGAGTTCTACCCGCGGCAAAGGTTTGAATAATTTTTGGTGTAAATATATATTAATTTTGTTTTCCAAATTATCAAAATTGATTTTTTAAATCTGTGACTGGAGGGGTTAACTTGTTTTGCAGCGGGTGTTGTGGTTGCTGGAATCGCTACTGCTGCATGTGCGTCCCACGTTGTAACTACAGATGCCAATAGATTAACAAAAACTGATATAGTATACTACGGCAAGATAGCTTATTTCCATACATGCTGGTAAGGCCCACATCAACAGTAAATCGTTTAATAAACAAAAGTTTCGGTCCCTTAACCAGTTCTAGCAATACATTTTTATTCATTTTAAATTGCATCCTGATTTGCTCTAAGAAAAAATGAAATAAAATATACTAAATAAAATTTATTTTGCTGCAGATCCTGCCTTCATTGAAATCATGGAAAAGCAGATATGGGGGCAGGAGCCATCCGCCGCAATGGGCTGGAAGATAATTCAACTCTGAGGCAGCAAGAAAACTCAAAAGCATCAAAATGTGCACGTAAGTAACTTTATTTCCTATGCTATTTGATAAGCAGACGTTTATCCGACATGCAGTCAAAAATTCAATTTTGCTTATAAGTTTAATATTTCTCTGAAACTGGAATTAAATTAAACTATAATTAATGATAATCATAACAACTCTAATTACAATATCCACTGAAGTCAGAGTAAGTTTTATACTGTTCAGTTAAATTGAAGTTTTTTTTAAGTAAAACTTAATATATTCCAGTATTAACCAATGTATTGCAACATAGAACTTGATTTATATTTTCAATATATAAGCAAGTATTTTTTTCGTCTTAGAAGAAAACTCAGAAGAGTTGAAGAGTATTCAAATAAACATGTATAAGAAAATAATTACATTAATATACTAAAATTAATATGTAAGAAAAGGTTTTTAGATCTGCAATTCTGTATTCTTCAGGGGCAGTGAAAATATGCAAATTATTTTTGTCCATATATTTCTGACAAATTAGCATTATATTAATGTAAATCGAAAATGTAAACCCGACTAATCATGATTCTTACATCCGGCGTAGCTTCGTAAGTTCCCATTGCGTCACTTTGAAGTGCTTAATGTTTCAATTAAAGAAACGTTTTAAAGATCGACGAAACGTAAATATCTCTTGGAAAAGAAAGATAATTTTGATTTTAATAAGATTTGTAGGTAGCCAAGAAGACACTGTCCATAACCTAACATTGTTTTTTGCAATACCCAATTTGACTGTGCTTTATCCGACAGGAATTGTGAAATGTTTTGACGTTAGGGATGTCTAGAATATCTTAGAAGAGTTAATTTCTTCAATTTTTTATTTGATCAGCTGAGTCGTTACACTAGTTCTTAGACAATTATAAATACGTGATCTACTACAAAAAAAGAATGCAAGATCTTTTCGAGAAACAAAATAAAATGGACAGAATAAAAAAAAGCAAGTTTCCTTTAGACAACGTGTTCCTGTACCATTGGCTGACTTTGCGTCGCTGTCACAGCTACGCTTGTTGCCCGAAACCCTGTTGTCGCCCCTGCGTGCGGAGCTGCTGTTGCTACTACTGCGGTCGGGACTACTGCCCCTACTGCGGGCGGTGTCACATGCGATGCCGCAGATGTTGCAAGAAATCTTGCAACTGCGGCTGCGGAAAATGCTGCCGCTGCTGCGGCACGAGAACGTGCGGCCCGCCAACCATCATATGTAGCAATTGCTGCAGCTATTGCAATGGAATATGCTCAAGTTGCCGCCGACACAAATGCTGCGACTCGTCATGCTGCAAACCGTCCTGTTGCAAACCGTCCTGTTGCAAGCCAGTCTGCTGCAAGCCAGTCTGCTGCAAGCCAGTCTGTTGCAAGCCAGTATGTTGCAAACCGGTCTGTTGTAAACCGGTCTGCTGTAAACCAGTATGCTGTAAACCAGTATGCTGTAAACCAGTCTGCTGCAAACCAGTGTGTTGCAAGCCCGTGTGTTGCTGCAAACCGAAATGTTGTTGCTGCAAACCGAAATGTTGTTGCTGCAAACCGAAATGTTGTTGTTGCAAGCCGGTGTGTTGTAAACCGGTCTGCTGTAAACCGATCTGTTGCAAACCCGTCTGTTGCAAGCCGGTGTGTTGTGAACCGGTCTGTTGCAAGCCGGTGTGTTGTGAACCGGTCTGCTGCAAACCGGTCTGCTGCAAACCGGTGTGTTGCAAACCCGTATGTTGCAAGCCCATGTGTTGCAAGCCCATGTGTTGCAAGCCCATGTGCTGCAAGCCGGTCTGTTGCAAGCCGGTCTGTTGCAAGCCGGTCTGTTGCAAGCCGGTCTGCTGTAAGCCGGTGTGTTGCTCGCCGGAATCCTGCGATTCCTGTTGCCCAGACGACTGCTGCGAGGATAGCTGCGAATGCTGAGAAAAGTACGTTGACAATAAGTCTTTGAAAATTACGTGTTTGCGGGTCGTAAAAATGTTAGGGTAGCACACGCAGCTTTCTAAATGGTGATCTTAACGCATCACATAAATAAATCAAACGCTCGCAGCATTTTTCGTTCTGGTTTCTTGTCCCCTACCGTTTGCACTCCTATTTTTGGAAGTTTCAAAAACGTTTTAAACGGGAACTAATTTTTGAGGTGGATAGATATGAAATAACACTTATTTGCTAATTGCTAAATTAAGGTAAATGGAGTAGTGAATACTGAAAAAAAACCAAAAATTTACGCCTAAAAGTACTTAGAGCGTTTTTTTAAGATTTGGGAACTGCGTTGGTAATTCCAAATCACCAATTCGTTGTTTGTTTTTGAATGCTTGTCATTTTTGAATTTTGTAAACCAGGTGTTTGCCCTTTCTTGTGGAGCAGCGCCCACTCTGTGAGGTTACAAGAGGCGGGCCGCGTGTTGCAGGTAGCGCCGGGGCGAGCGGGCGCGGCCTGCGCCGGGGGGCGTCGGCCCAAGTGACGCGCGGTGTCCGCTTCGCTCGCCGCCGCGTCGCTTCGGCCCCCGCCCTGCGCGCCGCTGCCCCCGCCGATGGCGTCGCGTCCTGCGCCTCTTTCCGGAGTGTCGGGGCCGGTAAGTACATAATTACGGAAATAATGGCATTTTTCTTAACACAATTTATAAAATTTCCAATCATTCATAGCAAATTAAATTTCAAAAAATACCGAAAGAAATACGTATTGCGCAATTTTCTACAGCTGTCGTTGAATGCTTCCTTTGAGGTTATTTCTGCAATTCTTGATAATGACTAATTTCTCAATGTTACAATCAGAATGTTAGGCATTGTTAGGTGGAAATAATTGCCTCGCAGCATTGCTATAGACTGTCAATAAAGCGGCCCGTATCATCACGCATAAGTTAAAAAATGTTGAGACAGAATTTCCATTTGATACAGTGACGTGGTAACGCTGTAACCGCTGTGAATGTTGCAGTCCCAGGTCGTGCCCGCCTCCGCCGCAGCAGTCACCTGACCAAAGTGGCGCTCCTCCGTCGGCCGCACACCGGCCGCGCGCCCGCCTCGCGGCGCCCCTCGCCGCCCCCGGCGCGCCCTGGCCGTGCGTGCGCGCCCGCCGGCACGCGGACGCGCGCTCGCTGCCGGAGCCATGCGCCGGCCGCGCGGCGCGGCGTGGCGGCGCACCGCCCCTCGGGGTGAGTAAGAGTAACACGCCGGGAAAGATCATGTCGTTGCATTTCAAATTCGTTTGAACGTTTGTTTCATGGACTTGCATTAATTTTCTTCGTGAGCGATTAGGAATATTGTCATAAATACATTTAAAAATTATCTGTAAATGGTTTAGTTTCAAAATCTTAAAGAAAAATATCTCAATACCTTAAAAACTGGAATGTTCTTCGTGAGCGATTAGGAATATTATCATAAATACATTTAAAAATTATCTGTAAATGGTGTCGTTTCATAATCTTAAAGAAAAATATCTCAATACCTTGAAAACATTCCAATGTCATGCCTTAATTTAATTATTAAGTGATTTAATGATTAATAATATAAAATTCATTATTGCATTTAATAATCATAATTAATCAGTCATTAGTCTTCATTGGTATAAACGTCAGAATGATTAATACAAACTTAATTTTTGTAGGCTGACGTCGCCAACTCCGCATGCCCGAAGGCGGACCAAAACCAAACATCTTCGCGGAAAGAGAAGGTCGTTCCCTGCTGGCCATCTGGCAGGCGATCAGAAGATAGCCCTCAAGGTGGCGCGGCCCAGGCCGAAGTACTACGGACCTATACAGCCATCGTTTTTCCGCAAAAGACCACGAAAAGACGGAGTTGAGCGAGCCACAAACCATCAGTCAAGGTCAACACGCATTGCGTGACTGTCCAGGCCCATGCTAGTGGAGTATCACAAAAAAATTGTAAAATATCCGCACCTAGTCGACCCTACGCAACGATTTTATATAGAAGACCTCGCGGAGATGGAATTCAAGACAATCCACCTTATCAGCACCGTGCACACTAGTTTTAGTTGAGATGTCTCATACACAAGATATACCAAGTTTTAGGCACTCTCCATCTTGTTCTATTCAAGAAGTCTTGTGCAGTAATCCTTCATCGCAGAAATTCCGCAAAGAACATTCAATCATTGCAACTAACTAGTAAAAATTGGTCCTAAGCAGCAATCTTTTCCTCTTCGCACAATACCTAGCGAAGGTGATAACGACGAGACACAAACCATCGCAAAAATAAGAAAAAACTAAAAAAATGGGCTTGTGTAGTAATTTTTTGGAAGACCTTACTTAAGTGGAATAAATGAGAAAACTAGCCATCGGATGAAACATGTGTAGATACCAGTTGTTCTAATGGAATAAGAAATCACTAACGAATGAAAATCTAAGAATTAATAGAGCGAACTGATTCTACTAAAAATGAAAAATAATTTCAAGTTTTCAAGTATCAAGCCCTTCATAAAAATTATAAAACTAAAGAAAATGTAAAAAAAATAGCAAAATAAAGCACCGCTCGGTAATTTTGTTCTTTTTTGTAGATAGTAAAACTAATTTAAAATCTATCGAACAATATTTCTAAAAAGATCACATATTAATTCAATTAATACTTATTCATCCTACATAATTCTCACGACTAAGGCAATACTCGCAATACTCACTTGCACTGGACTCTCAAATAGAATTTCAATCATCCCAACAAATAGAAAAATCTTTTTAAACAACTTTTCTAAACCCTGGGAATGTTTTTTTGTCAATTGAACTAATTTTTTGATTTATTACATTCTTTTAACCTTAATTTAGCATACAAAATGTAATTAGAACACCATATCCTAAATTACTTAGATGTAACCATTTCTAATTTTTAATTAGATGTAATTAAAAATTAGAAATGGTGAATTAGAAACTTGAAATTTTTTAAAACCCACTTGGATATGATCATACCCTTTAATTCCAATTATATCTATCATCATAAATTTGGTATTTTCCATTCTTTGATTCATATCAAGATAACAACAAAATTCAACAAAATTATCAAATGCATTGAACCAATATCCAGAAAGATAGGTAAAATTCAGCAAATATAACAGCACAAATTTACAAATATAGCTTATGAAAGTTAATACCCTCCAAACAATTTTTCCTAGCAATAAATTCCCTGTGACTTTCACGAATGGAAGTGAAATTTATTATAATGTAACAATTATAATTATAAGAAAGGACGTTTTATTAGATTCAATGAACAGAAGATCTTTAATACTGACATAAGAAAATTCCACATTTGCCAGCCACAAACTTTTTCGACCCAGTTTAATAATTATCAACAAACTCAAAATACAAAAAGCTGACCACATCCAAAGAGAACTACAACAGACAATATCTTCTGAATGAAGGAGACAGTAATTTTTGTTCATTTGGGGGCAAATTTTATTTTTTGCAAAGATTTAGAGGAGCCAGGATTACCTTGGTGCTATGAATAGAGAGAATTTTGAAAAGCAAGTTAATTATTAAATTTCATTATCGTTAAAGTAAACGCATTCTTAATATTTATATTTTTGAAAGCTTGTGGGGGATACAATCAGTTAATTACTGGCATTAAAAATGAGGCCTTGCTTAATCATATTTGTCATTGCTTCATTTGTAGTAGGTTGGCTGAAGAAATCCTTTCATCAATGTGAGAAAAAATGAGTTACTGCTAAGTAACCTGTAAAGATTAAAGATTAAATTTGAAATCTCTTTTTTTAAATCAATATTTATACCGAAGTGGTTACATGGCATTGTGCCACCAAATGTCACACTTGTTTTTTTCAGGCTACTAAAATGGATTGCATGCTTAATTTACACGTTCAAAATGTCAAATGAAGAAAATATGGATTATTTTCTTTTTTATATATACTAGGTTGTTGACAAAATTTTAAAGATAAAAGGCATCAAGTACCAATTTACCTTCATACTGCTGTTTTTTCAGTACCAAAGAACAAGTAAGTGAATGTGTGTACTTTTGAGCAGTAAGCAGTTAGTAGACGAATTAACTGAGAGGAACAAGACTATTAATATTGAAGGCTCCTCCCCAAATATTCGATTTCTTGTAAGTAGACAGAAGCATATTGTAATTTCAAATGTTTATCCTATGATTCCTAACGCAGTAACTGAAGACGAACTAGACAAGATAAAAGTGATACAAACTACACAAAATAAAAGTGATACGCAGTTTTCAAAGTGTCGTTTCTCAGAGTCTGCTTTGGTAAAGAGCAGTTCACTCATATCTTAAGTTTCCATAGACAGGTGTTCGTACCGGAAGATTCATTAAGACACCAGAAGCCATATTGATCACATACAAAGGAGAAATAAACTGGATTTACGTGTCTAGCGGAACTATTAAATGCTTTCACGGGAAAGAAGAAGGGCACATTGCGAAAAACTGCAAAAATATAGCAGACATTAATTCCAACCAATCGAAAGGAATTATTAAAAACAATGTAGGCCCTGACAACGATTAAAGAGACAAGCTACCACGAATTTCCTCCACTCGACCAAGGCAAGCCTGTTAAAAGGGCTCTATCACAGATCACAAGCACTTCCAGCAGCAATTAAAGTGTACTTCCGAAAGAACAATTCAACCGTCCCCAAGGAAGAATTAACGGTGCAGTAAAGCAAACTATGAAAAAGAAAATGAACGTATCCAGAGAGAACACCATTAGTAGCGGCAGCAATAAGAAAAGCATAGTGGAGCAACCAGCTCCAGTGAAGGAAAGGTTAGAAGTATCCAACAATGTACTTACGTACCATCAACAAAACGACTTTTTGGAAAACACTTATGGCGTAAGTTATCCCCTTCAAATATCTCTCAATAACACCGAGACAGGGAGGCTAGTTGAAATGCTCAAAGAAATATACCTGTCACTGTCTGACAGAGGAATAAAATCAAGATTTACCAGAATTATGAAGAAACTGAAGGACCCAGTCTACTCAGATTCTTCAAAAGAATCGTCCGACAACGATGAATTAACAAGCGAAGATCTTCAAACATGAAGATGAGAATTCTACAATGGAATGTGAACGCTTTTCACACGGGTTATGAATTTCTTTAGAAGATTCTAAACGAACACGATTCTATGATGTACTGCACAACCATAATACTACAGGACTATCACGCCAGTATCAAGAGTAAACTACAAAAATTGGACAGAGAGGAATGGAACAAAAACGCTCGCTGGAAATTAAGAAGTATACGAGTATGCGAATACGATAATTATAATCCAGTCAATCCTTCTGCAGAGCTTATCAGGTTTGATGCAGACCGGACGAGACATGGTGTCAATAACGACATGGAAAAAGTACTAAATGACAAAGAACACTGGAGTCGGTTTATCAATTTTTTGAAGGGCATAAACTTGTACAGTGATACATAAAAATGTGTATAAACTGGCTACTACTGTGATATGAACGTTCCCTTCCAACGTGTCATAATACACCATGTATAAAAATAATGGTATTGTGTAGATGTCGCTAAAAACCTTTGTAGTTGATGCGACATAAAATAAATAAATAAACAAACAAACAATGATTCTTGTTCAAAAACAATGAAGACAAACACAGTATCTCCTAAAATCAACATCAATGAGACTAATATTATACACTGACAAATCTCAATGTCTTATGGCCTCCAGAAACTCTATCAACTCTAAGGGATCAAATTCCGCTCTCCACGACGTTTACAGATCGAAAATCGGACCATTGCTTCAGACATTATCTGTAAAGTAAATTCCCCTGTGAAAGTGTTCCGATCTATTGAATTTTCCTACAAGTATTTTTCGGTGCATTTAGTCTTAAATGGAACTGCTCTTCCTCGATGTAACGGCTTGAGAAATTGCAATGCACGCATGCACCTGAATATTTTATACTTGAACTTTTCTAAACTAAATGCTTTCAACTTGTTTAATTTTTGAGAAAATTACTTATACAACGTTTTCCGATCAATTCAATAGAAAGAATATCAGTTTTCATTTATCAATATATAGTGTGTAAATTGCAGCACAGTCGCCGATTAAAGTTGTGTTAAAAATCCAGACTTGAACCTTGAATGGCTTCTAAGAACGAAATATAAAACTCGGCTCATAATATATCATTGGTTCTAAACACCTAATTTCAACCTCGCAACTCCAATCATTTATTAACAAATTTAGTTTGAAATTTATGATTTTGGCAAAATGACCTAATTTGATTTGGCGAATATTCTGTAATTTAGCCATTGTGTCTTAATAAATAAAAAATGATATTATTGTTATTGAATAAAGCAAAAAATGTAAATGCAAGCACAAAGTTTCATTTATCAATAATGGAGATGGAAATATTGTTCATTACTCGCGTAACGTTTCTTGAACGATGGATTGAAGAAATGCCAGTACAGTGGGGGATTATGTTATCATCCACTAGATTTTATGAAGCAATGTCAATCTCTGGAGAATCAGTCATCCTTTCCCAATGTTGTCAATAATTTTTTTCTAACTTTCTCAGGAGTTCGAGGTATATCCTGGATGGTTCATCGTATTAGACTTCACCTACTTCAGTCATTTCTTTACGTATTTTTGGAAAAAAATGTCACTCAAGAACAGAAGACAGAAGTTCTCGTCTTCAACATAAAATAGTTTCTGTTTAGGAGAGTTAATATGTGTTTGGAATGTTGTCCTCAGTGCTCGCTATGAGCGTTACCTTCAACTGTTTATTGTCATTCAGCTGCGAGCAGTCGCATAGTACAGACCTACGCGCACAGGGCTGCGTCTCCCCTCGTACCCGTCTTCTGTGTTCCAGCGAAAGTTATATTGCTACAGTAACAGTTTTCAACAACTCTCACTAATTGTGTGGTGCAAATATTATAACAAATTAGTGCAACATTTTCAACGGACAACGCTGGCATTCGCCAGTGTATTGTAGATGGCCTCGCACGGGTCTACCCGACCGAGGGCAAAAAGGAGGACGCTTATCAGGAAGGCGACACCCGTAAAATATAATTCCTACTAATTCCAGAGCATCTACTAGAACAACATCAACCAGATCAGCGGTTACCTCTAGCCCCATTGCATCAGCCTCATGTTAAGTGGAAAAATTCCGCATGACAATGTTAATGGTCAACAAAATAAGGTCAGTGACTATCTGCCGGCCAACGGCAATGCGAGTTCTTCGAAGTGCAACGGTAATACCAGCGCACGTGCAGAACACATTTCCCAAGAGCCCAGTGGTAAACGAGGGCGTAGTGATCCAAATCGAAACACGCAACCAAACAAAAAATCGTGTTTAGCCATTCTCAAGATTATAGTTTTCCTCTTAAAATAGATTTGACCCTTTAAGGGACCTACAAGGAAGTAAATCAAGTTTTGTATCCCGAAACTTCACCGTTACTGAAAACTCCGAAAATACTAGAATCCCTCCCATCCATTTTAACAATATTGAAAACATTATAGAAATAAACAATGAAATTAAAACCCACATCACTAACCAGTTTACATCAACCTTCACCAACAGCAAAGCAAAAATTAACTTTATCCAAATAGAAGATTTCGGAAAAGCTATTAAATATTTTAGAAGCACTAATAACACACTTACAAGGACCTAACCCACAAAAAGTTCTCTGTGGTCTACAAAAACATTAATCCATCTATTTCTCAAGAGGAAATATTGGAAGATCTAAAAGCAAAACACTCTTCCCTTATTAGTGTTGCCAGATTACACAAGAACAATTAACCAATCCCAGTGGTAGCCGCTGAATATTCAGCAGAGCAGAATATTTAAATAAGTCTCAAAACAAACGTAATATGTAATATAAAAGTAAAATCTGAAAGAAGGCGGATCTTCAAGGACCAATACAGTGTCTCCGATGTTTGAATTTCGGGCATTCTAAGAACAACTGAGATCATCCAATTTCTTGTATGTATTGTTCTGAGAATCATTATTCGGCCGTATCCCCTCCAAAAAACGACCCTCTGAAATGTAAAAACTGCGACGGGGCGCAGAGATCTGATATACGAACAATAGAATGCTCATATTTTAAAACAATTTTGGAAAATAAATCAAAAAATTTCGATCAATCATCACAAAAGTCGAGAACTAACCATGAATCCCCTCCCCCTAATAGGACTAATCTTTTTCCCAACTTACGTAACATGACCTGCTTATTACTCCCGCAACTTTTTTGAACGATGGATTGAAGAAATGTGGGTAGAGTGGGGGTATTAGTTTCGAAATCAGCCACTAGATTTTATGAAGCAATGCCAATCTCTGGAGAATCAGTCATGCCTTCGCCACTTTCTCGATAATTTGCGTTCTAACTTTCTTAGGAGTTCAAGGTATCTCCTGTGATGGATCTTCACCTGCTTTGGTCATTTCTTTAGAGTTTTGGAGAAAATCAAGGACAGAAGTTCTCGTATTCGCCGGAAAATAATTTCTAATTCGCGCCAGTTAAGATGTGTTTGAAATGTTGTCATCAGTGCACGCTGCGAGCTTTTGTCTTCAACTGTTTATTTTGTCAGAGAGGGGGAAGAAAGGTCATCGTTCAAGAAAAGTTGCACGAGTAATACCAAACTTCACCTATGTATCACCAATTTACCAGCAATCAAACAACATCACTCAAAACCAATCAGCTAACAACTCCCAAAACTATCTGCCCCAAAATAACTCATCTCAACAGTTTCTTAAATTTTCCATTCGTACACAATATCATCAACTACATATATACAGACGTAATTAATATTATTAACTCCATTATACCAGTCATTGTTCAAAAATATCCAACAGGCCATAGCCTTCTGTATTGGCACTGCCCATGGCGCACCCTGAATTTAACTCTAATGAATTGGAATTTGTCTAGCATCAGCAATAAAAAATAGAAGTCCAGTAATTTTTACAAGCCAACAACATAGACATTGCTTGCATCACTGAATTACATCTAAAACCTTAATATCCGTTTTATTGTCCAGTGTATAATGTAGTTAGACAAGTTAGAATACCCTCACCAGGCAGCGGTTATAAACTTAAACAATCTGATAACAAAAACTGTAAACACATTAAAACCCGAAAATCCCACCACACTATGTAATAACACACACATTAAAGTGCCCAAAAGCTTAATTAAAAGAATTCAAACTAAAAATAAAACGAGAAGACTGGCTAGCTCTTAGAGCGCCCAGTTTAAAATCATAACTAAATCTATTAACAAATATCTCCCGAAAAGCCATAGCAGATTTTAAATAGACCAAATATAACCATTTAATACAATACTTAAACACTCATAACAATTCAGTTTGGAATTTGACTAAAAGTATACTAAGAAAAAACCATAATCCCCCCTTTAGCTACTACCAATGGTAAAAATTATTCTGCAAGTGAGAAAACTGAAGTTTTAACCGATCATTTTGCCGAGACATTTACCCCCAACATCTCGTCTCCCCATCCAGATCACTCCCAAATTCAAATCTATGCCCCCTCCCTTAATTACAATATACCCCAAAAAATAAAATAAATATATCCTCAGGAAATTGCAAACATCATTAGAACTCTCCCAAATAAAAAAGCACCTATTCATGACAATGTTAATATCATTTTTTAAAAATGACCCCAAAACATTATCGCCTATATCACCAATATATTCAACTCATTCCTATGAATTGAATATTAACCTTCAACCTGAAAACATTTCTTAATCCTTCCCATCCCCAAACCGAACAAAACCACAGCAATCCAGATAACTATAGACCCATTAGTCTCCTCCCATCATTATAAAAAATACTCGAAAAACTCATCCTTGCAAGATTAAATAAGTTCTTGAACAAAATAAATCTCATACTTCCCTGTCCGTTTGGCTTCACCAACAAAGTATCTACAACGCACCAGCTCTTAAGCATCACTGAATACCTTCATTCATCATTCCAAACAAAACATCATTCAATAGCAGTATTCATCGACATCACTAAAACCTTCGATCGAGTCTGGCACGAAGGAATAATATATAAACTATCGTCAGTTGGAACCTCAATCTACCTCTTTAAAATCATTAAATGCTTCCTCACAAACAGAACTTTTTCAGTTGTAATAGAGAACCACACCTCAACCCACGCCCCATACGAGCAGGACTCCCACACGGATCTCCCCTCTCCCCACTGCTATTCAACTTCTACAGAGCGGACATTCCTACCTCCACATTAACCCCAATAACCCAATTTGTAGATAATACTGCAATCTATATGTCTCATCCATCATTAAACCTTATAGCAAATTAAATCCAAACACATCTTCAACATTAGAAAGCTGGTCCTCAAAAGGGAAGATAAAAATCAATCCCACCAAATCAGACGCTAAAATATTCACCTTTAAACCTTTCTCTCCTTCCACACAATTAAAAATAAATACTAATATAATTACATGGACTACAATAAGGGAGTTTAATACTTAGGACTACATCTGGACAATACCCTCAACTGGAAAACTCACATAGACAAAAATGTTCATCAAGCCAAAATAAACTTCAACTGAAACATCTCATAAATATAACTACTAAACTGTCTTTAAACAATTCTACAACTTAATATAAATCAATCATCAGACCCCTCCTCCTATACGCCTGCCAAATATGGACAAATGCTGCCAAATATCATATTCGAAAATTACAAGTCATCCAAAAGAAATTCTGAAGGTCCATCACCCAAGCTCCCTGGTTCATCTCCAATATGTAACTTCACAACGAATTAAACTCGAACCAATTTCTCACCATATTGCCTATCTTTCCAATTACTTTTACTCGAACAACTGGGTAAATATACAGAACGTCAAACTCGAATAAAAACAGATATCCGTTAAATGCATTCTTGGACATAATCAGCAATATAGAATGAATCAATTGAGGTGCTCTGTGAGTCCCCTCGTCAGATGTATCTTAGTGTTAGTTGTAAAATATATTAAGTTAGATTGAAAGCCAGAAAACAAATCTAAAGTTGACATAAACTGAACCTTGTAATCTCATTCGGAACATATATTTTAAAAAAATATTTATTGTGCCCGAGACGGGGAAGCAAGGTCATTGTGCAAGAAAAGTTGCGCAAGTAATACCAACGTTGCAAAAATATAATAGTCTACTGTACAACACTGCATGAAGTCAGTCTAATCCGTGTATTTAAAAGGCTATTTCACCAACAAAATTACAACTTCACAAAAGTTTCGTTAAGACAAGTGGAACTTCGCCTACAAAATTTCCCCCAACGTGGGAACGTTTAAAAAAGTCAAGTGACCATTTTCTATCTTCAAAACAAAGTCTCTAAACGGGTTCAAAATCGATACGAAATATCAAAAGGTTTATAAAGAAATGTATTAAATAAGACGTATTACCATTCATTTAAATCGAATATGAAAACAATAGGACAAAGTTATAGAGTTTATCAAAAAGTTATAGAGATTATGATGTCTATATTATGTTATCATCCCTTATCATTAATGGCTTCTCAAGATAAGCCAGACCACACCATTTTGTAGCACCCTACTCTTTCCCTATAATAAGGATTCATAATTAAGAATCAGAAGAGAAGTCGCCTACCAGATATTTTAAGGTCTCGTCTATTTTTCAAAATTTAAAAATGTCTCATGCTGAATTCCTAAATGAATATAGACCTCTTGTAATTGCTGTAACTTCGAATAGTTCCTTATTTATCAACAATAACATCTGTAACATCTGTGTATTACTCATTCATTATAATTTACAGACGGCATAGTTAGGAACTACTGTTGGTTTGAAAGTGAGGGCCCAAACACATATCCGAGAATGTGCCGATAGTCCGAATAGTGCCGATTTCTGACATCTGACGCCGGCTGAGACAGACCGGAAAAAGTGCTTTTTTGTGTTTGTAGTTTCTGTGAAGTCAGCGAAAAAATCAATTCCACTTCGGTATCCGAGAGTGGGTAATGGTAGTAAATAATTATAAATAATGAAGTGAACTATTGTCGCGAAGAAAAGGAAAAAGGGGTTATTAATACCATTAGAAATACCCATGGACAGCTCTGTAGTACAATACACTTTGCCATCGACAATACATGCTATTCATAAAAGGTACGGAAAAAATTTTATTTCTCCTTTGTACATATTACATAATATGTATGTTCGTGGCCACTTTCCTACAATGAGTGGGCCTATAAAATACCTTGTATAACAAAACAGAAGGAAAAGGCCTTTATCCCGCTCACCACCCTCTATATCATATCTAATCGATCATTATCTACTGTAGACGTGCGATTCTCATTCAGTCGGCGGTGACCCCATGTAAACAGATCGCAGCGCTTCGTCCGCAAATGTAAAGTGAATGTGGAATACACCTCTCAAATAAAAATACTCCTGGATACCTAACCGTTTTATCACAGAAGGTAATGGAGTAATTTACATGTGGTGGCATTGTTTGAACAATGAAGGAAACAGTTGCATTGCAAATTACGTAACACCTTCCGAGCGGTGGGGCCGACTAGCTGAAGAAACGGAAGCCACAATGCCGTGGTGAGCTTGTATATTTACGAACGTTAAGTGATTATGAATATACGCTATAAAAATATTGTTGCACGTATACTTGCACCAAAACATGTTATTGAAAAATGTTCGTTTGATTTCCTTAAAATGATGTGTAAATCACAATGGATGATAAGGAGCAGAATATATTATTTAATTTTTAAGGGATCAGAGACCACTGTTTGAAATTATCCAAAGTTTGTTATTATTCGGATGTAAAATTTTGACCATGTCCCCGATATTAAACAGATGAAATACAGATTTTATATACAAGATTTTCTTCCAGAGTAATTAATAATGTAAAATAAAATAACGCCAACAAAAGTATCTTTCAACATTTAGCAATGTAATGATAGTATCTTTATAATCATTCATCAATTTTATCTTGACATATTGACTACAATGCATAATTTGACGAAATAGGCTAGTCAAATATATTTTAAACATTTCTCTCTGTCTTAGAATCTTTGTATACGTACAAGGTCGTACGTTGACGTAAAAATTTTGTATTTTTGTTTGAACTTGCGAACGTGAGAAAATATCTTAAATTTTGAGGTACTAAAAGATCCTTATAACTCGACCAAAAATTCTCCAAATTCTTTCCTTATCGTTTTTGCAGTGGTAAAGTTACTCTTAATAGTAATACTCTTTAATTATGATATTTTTTAGAATAGCTAATTTGATCTTTCTGATTTTCTGATCATTAACTTTTTTATCTTCTTTTGAGATCAAGAAATATTTCTGCATTAGGTTCACTTACCGGGAAATAATTTTTGGGTTTTGAGAAAACTTGCACGATTACAATAAAAGGAAACTAACCAAGGCATATTTTATGCTATCAAAAACCTTGGGAAAAATTGAGACGATAAAAATGCTTTCATCAGCCCAAAAAAAATGATATTTAAACATTTACATATTTTGTAAACACCTTGTATGATTCAAGTAACCTAAGTACATTGCTAAAAACAGATAGTTGGTTTTGTTATATTTAGTATAGTGAATATAATGTTAATGAATGGTATATTATTATTTTCTTTTGTGAGATCAGAAATATTTAAATACAAATATTTGGTCAAAGGCAGTACAAATATTAGTTCATATGTTATGTGTTGAAATTTGATCTATTTATAGTTACATCTATATATGTTAATTATTTACAAATAGTATGATAAATCTACTAACGCTATTTATTCACTGTTTTCTCCTTAACGATATTTTGGGAAACAAATTTAACTTTGCTTTAGATTATGACTTTGGAGGCTCGTCACGTTTTTTATACCCAGCATTCATTCAAAGAAAGGAATGTTGATGCAAATTAACACTTCCAAACATCGCTATTTACAAAATTAAATAATATACTTATTAATTTTGCATTCTTTTTAATTATTAACTACTTAAATATTATTCCAAAATCGTTTCTAATGAACTTTGGCTATACAAGATGGTGTACAACTACCAAGATAGCTAAGACACGTTGATGTATTGAAACATTTCAAATCGAAAAAAATCAACTTGTAAATTGGTTTTGTCCAATCAATACCACATTATTTATAATGTTTGTGTTTTAAAACTGAAAGACAACACACTATGTACTTCAATTGTTGGCCCATAGTGTTATTTCGAGAATGAGTATACCCATGTTGTTTATTGAAAACCTCGGGGTGAATGTGCTGGTGGATTTGTGTTGTCGCAGCTACGTCGGGTGCCCCAAGCCCTCGTGCCGGCCCTGCGTGCCGGGCTGCAGCTGCTACCTGTGCGGGCGCGATTACTGCCCGTACTGCGGCCGGTGTCACATGCGATGCCGAAGATGTTGCAAGAGATCTTGCAACTGCGGCTGCGGCAAGTGCTGCCGAAGTTGCGGCGCCAGAACGTGCGGTCCCCAAAGCATCTGTTGCGATTGCTGCAGCTATTGCAACGGAATATGCTCGAACTGCCGCAGGCATAGATGTTGCAAGACATCTTGCTGCAAGCCGTCATGTGGCAAACCCTGTTGCAAGCCGGCATGTTGTAAACCATGTTGCAAACCATGTTGCAAGCCGGCATGTGGCAAGCCGTGTTGCAAACCGACATGTTGTCACCAGTCATGTTTCAAAATACCCTGCTGCTAGTCGGGTCTGAGGCCAGCGGGTGTGTCGCGAGCCGGCTTGCTACGCCCTTGCCTGTTGCCCAGACCGCTACTACGAGGATAGCTGCATTGGGAAACGTGCGATGACAGTATGTCTATGGGTAGTTCTATGGGAAGTCGCGCGAGAAAGTCTTTTATTTCCCAAAACAATTGCGTGATTTCATGCAGTACGACCTGTTTTGTAACATCTGTTTTAGCTTTCCGCTCACTCACCTTCCGGGTTTTTGGGGCTTTTCTGGAGTAAAACTAGTGGTGCTAAAACAGCACATACTTTCTCGCCCTACTTTCACGCACAATTACGAGGAAAGAACTCAAATTTTCGAAAAATAGTTCATGACCTTATTTCAAAAACTATCTTTAAGAAACGAATTTCATTAAAGATAAATCTCTATTTTCATAAGGTTGATGGTAGTTGAAGGTAAAGGCCGAAAATATTTTGAACTTCGGTAATTTTCGAAATATTAGAGTTATCAACGAAAATGAGACCTGCACCATTATCTTAAGCGTTATTTACACAATCCATCAACAAAATTTAATCTAAAACGAGGGAGCCATTTTTTAAAAAATGTCTCCGCGGCTGTAGTAAAGTACTCCTTCAAATTATAATATCGATTTTAAATTGAAGGGATCGCGACATCAACCAGTTTGACTGAAGAATATCAATTTTGGGAAAAATCGTTTGAACGGTTTAGCTGTTAGCGTTCTTCGCAGACGATCAGACAGAGACGTTTTGCCGTCATTCGATTTTTCGATATCAATGAGTCATAAAACATGAATTCTGGCTACATAACTTGTTGGAGGATTTTTTCCAAATTTGGCAACTGAATTTATCAATTTTTTCGATACTAAGGCTCTATAAGAGTTTTTCTACCGCAAATTCGCCGTTTTTTGCGCAGCATTACTAAGTTTCTCTCTACTTCATAAGAGCTAGCGAGAAAGTAAAAAGTAGCGGAACATGCTACGACACAAATTTCTAGACTCTCGAACTACATGAAGGGTTTATAAAATCATTGACTACGTTAGATAGAGATCTTATACATTCTCAATAAGTATAAAGCAGAATTTCATTTATTTTTTGCTGAGAGAACTGGAAAGATAGAAGAAAAAATTTCTTGCTACGGTTGTGCTCGTAGGGGCTCAGAAATATAGTCCAAGTAATTCCGTTGGCCAGTGGAAGGTGCTATAAGTTAATTATTAAACACAAGTTATTTAAAATACTGAGACTTAAAATACATTAACAACTTGATAAGCGGTACCATCATTAGGAAAACACGAGTGCAACATGGTCAAGGATCAAATTTTCTTTGCTAAAATGCCAGAGATATTTCCCATTTGATATATAGAAACTGAATTTGCCAAACTTGGATACCCTTCCTCGTTTAGTTTAGTAAATAATTAACGATAAATTTTGGACTATCGCTTGTGCTCGTGTAATGGGCAATGGCAAGTGAACGAGTGTAATTCCTAATAAGACTCGCCACGTCTCTGGAAAATTCAGATCTTAATTCAACCCGCTAAGGCCCGAAAGCGAGCGCAAGGCAAATAGCGCGCGCTAGGTCAATTCATCACAGTCACTTGGCGAACAATTCATGCAAAGAGATGTGAACCTTTTCATTTCCAGCAGGTGCAGCATTTGCGCAGGAGTGACTTACGTCGTTCTGAATTCTCGAGGAATTTCCTTCGCAAATGCATGGAAAACCAGGAATTATCGACACCGTTCTGTGGACAGATCAAACGTATTTAAAAAATTGGAACAGTTAATATGCATAATTTGCATTTGCTGGCCGAGAAAAATTCACGTGTTGCACTTCGCGTAGCTCACCAAGAGTGATGCTCTTTATTTACTTGAGTGAGCATTGTTGATGAAGTTACGGTCGGTCCTCACTTCTTACCCGAGTGTTTCAGAGGCGTTCAATTTGAATTATATAACTCAGGTATTCCCTACGCTTTTGGAGGACCAGCATGAAGACGACTCCCCTCCTTACTATCACGGAGTTCCGGAATACCTAGATATGCAAATTACAGATAAGTGAATCGGACGAGGAGGCCCCATAGCACGGCCGCCGCGGTCTCCGCATTCGAATCTGCTGGACTATTTTTTATTTCGAGTTAATGAAAGATCGCATTTATCTACTGCGGGGGATCGTGATGGCTTTATTCCGCTCATTAAAAGTGTGCAGCAATAAAGGAATGACCCGGCAGAGTTGTGTGCGTGGGTGACGAAGATGCCGATCTTACGTTCACGAAAGAGGTCGTCACTTTGAACCCTTATAGAGCCTCTGTTACAAGAGGTGAAAATGCAAAATTATGGCTGTATTCGAAAAATAATAAATTATCCTAAATAATAGTTTTTTCTATCTCCTTACATATTCATTGGATAAGAAAGTAATAATAGCATCAGAGAACAATATTTAATGTAATATTTGGGCTACCTTTATGCAAAAAAATGACCAATGAAAAAAAAACTTTTTTCAAAAATTTGAATAGGGTTCACATTTTCTTTTTTTACTAGGCTATCCGGGTGACGCCACGTCCATGGCGATGCTCATTACGCCCTGAGGAAGGTCGCAGAATGGCGACCGAAACGTCGGCACCTTCGCCGTGGACGCGGCGTCACCCGGACAGCCTAGTAAATACTGACTCCGGCCGCGGAAGCCTACGCTCTCAGTTCACATTTTATTTTGCACATATGAATAATTTAAATTACTCTAGGGCGCTGTATGTGCAACGAGAACTGAATCACTGTATATGCGTTGATTTTACTACATGAATCAAATAGTCCAAACAACTACATAACAATGTGGTAACAAAACCATTCATCCGGATTTATTGTTTTTTCTGTCGACAAAAGTTTTAATAATGAAGGGCACCGTCGAATAGAGCTTATAACAATATCGTTATTTTATAATAGTTATTATAACACAATTGATATTATTTTATTATAGTTATTATTGTGATTTAGCACACGGAGGAACAAGATTTATCACCCGGGTCCGACAATTTGTCGACAAATCTCCAATTTTCGCTGTACGATTACAATACTTTATCTTTACTAAGTGCGTAGAAAGGCGATATATGAATTAGATTTCCCAATGTTCAGACAAAATGAAATCTTAAATTCACTTCACCAATTCTGTGTATTGAAATTTTGTATATCAAGGAAATACCATCCTGTTAAAAAATCAAAAGGGAAAGATGTTCATCGCAGTTTAATGTAAATTCTTTATTCCGTTAAAAGAATATCTGAATAAAACCTTCATTGGATGACCTGTCTCAGCAATAATAATTGTGGCAGTATCCTCTTACATACACACACACACCCTCACACTTTCATCCCCTAATACTACACATGCGAGATATCTAGTCGAGAGCTTATCCCGCCTTGCATAAACCAAGGGATAGACTGCGAGATAAGTTAGGGGGAGAGCACAAGCCGAGTGTAGGTTTGCACCGAACCTCACGTTCCAGGGGCGACACCATCATCTTCCGGCCTACCAAATTCACTACACTTACGAAGCCAAAGACCACAGTCATCGACTCTCCCGGAGTCATAAAGTCCTCGCTGGAACGCAATTCGCGTGTGGACGTGCGTAAGGGAAGTCGCCCGCCCGCTTAGGCGAGGTTCCAAGATGTTGGTTGCGTGTTGCAGGGAGCGCGGGCGTGAACTGGCATGGCCTGCGCCAGGTGGCGTCCGCCCACGCGTCGGGGCGCGCGGAGGGCGAGCGGGCGTGCGGGCGGCGGCGCGTCGCCTCGGCTCCCGCTCGCCGCTTCGCGGACCTCCTGCTCTGCGTCTCCCTCGATGCGTGGGCGCAGGCAAGTGCACACCTCACTTCTCGGGCTTACCGCCCTTACGAACCACGCCACACGCCTCACCCTTCACGTCCC